TAGTCATCATGGCCATTCTATGACAGCACACAGAAGCCTTGGAAACCTTATCAGGGAATGCCCCTTCTCTTTTAGTTATAATAAAGCCCAAAGATAACACTACTAGATCCGATAAAGGAATATGCAGCCTTCAAACTCCTTGTGTTTCCAAATGCTGTTTTTGTGTGTTCTTGTTTTTAGCCAAGATCTCACCATTTAGCTGTATCATTTGTTGTATATTGGATATGGAATGTCCTTGTAGAAGATGTTGAAGAAACTCAGGACTCAGTGAAGTCATTGGCTTTATTTTAAATCTTGACAATGCCTAAGGCTGCCCTCATTAACTTTAACATCTGAAATTACATGCTGTGTTGACTGTGTGAGTTACTACTGCTAAGTCATTAACATTGAGTAAAAGGCTGCTCACTGACAAGCCAACAAGGCTTTCTGAAAACAAAAATGAGGAAAATTAAAACAGAAAATAATAAAATAAAAGGGAATCCTTGCATCAGATTAGTGAAAAAGCAGGGGATTTGTTGCTTATGATTAAAATGTTAAGTAATATTTACTGCAATTTTCAATATATCCAAACAACAACATCTAGACAGGATGATTCTATTAACTTTTCAGTTTCTAATAGTATATATAGTATTTGTGGCATCAGCTTACTGAAAATAATTATAATCTTGAGCATTTTATTGGTGACCAGAAGAAAACTGAAGACACAAAACTTTAAGCCTGATAAAGAAACTATTCTGCTCAAGATGATAGCAGGGGCAACAGTGTCACAGAGCATTTGGTTCATAAGGGCTGCAGGAAGTGAGGTTTGCTTTGTTCTGGAAGGAAGAACAGCAGTGGAAAGCCATAAAAACTGAAAGACAGATGAAGTGTGCTTTAGATTGACCTTTGATGGTTTATTCTGAACTTCATTATTTTATCCTTAATGATTCATATGGATTCTCAGCTTTGTCATCTAAGAATTTAGATTGTATCTAATAATGGAGCTTAGCTTATGAGTAATGTGCTTTATAAAATCCACACACATATGCCTTATAAAACCAGGCTTTTCTTTTCTATTTGTTTCTCTCAACCTACATCCCACTTTCCTTTACATCCCACTGTTTTCATATTAGGGTAAAATGAATTTTTCAGGCCCTGCTACCTGAACAACATTTCTTTTCTTGTGTGAGGCAAATAGATTTGTGATGTGTAAATATTATAAATGTAGCATTTCTGGGATGTTTCCTGTATCAGAAATACTCTGAGAAATGCTGTTGTCGAGTTCTGTGTTTTCTACAGTGCAAGCTATGTCTTTCGTGGTTTTCTGCTTTTGAGTTAAAGGTTGCTGAATGTAGATATTCATACTTGGGATTTATGGAACACTAAAGAGTCAAGTGGCACTTGTTATAATAAAGCGCGAAGGGAACTTTCCATAGCAGGCGAGGCGGGGACAAACACACCAGGCAGACAGAGCTTGGTGAACTTTTATTAGAAAGGGAAGGGGGGAGTAAAGAGAAAAGAGGTAAAGAAGCACAGAGACAGAGAGAGGACAGAAGAGAAGAGGGAGACAGGAAAAATCCTGGGTGCCCCAGGGGAACAGCGGGAAAGAGTAAGAGAAAGAGAGCGGGAAAGAGCTTAAGTGGGTGGGGGTGTTTCTCCTAAAGGGGTCCTTTGCACCTGGGCTGACCAGGGTACTGCCTGAGTGCCTTCTGCCAGGTGACAGGGGCAGGCCAGCATAATGCCTGAATCCTCACAGTACTGACTGTCGTTCCTTCTAGCATGAAGTAGTCTTTTGGTGCTAATGTCTGTGTTAAGGTTTAAAGGTAATAAATGTGTCTATGATCAACAATGGGTGTTTTTTTTCTTTCAACATGACGCATGTTTAACATATACAAATTTACAGTACTGATAAAGACGGTTTCCTGACCACTAAGTTTTATAGATACAGAAAAAAAACATATGAAAAGACACAAAAAAGATAGAGATGATAGATAGGCATGATAGAGACAGAAATGTAGATGTAGATGTAGGTTCCACATTGCTTATCTCAAGGGAGTTGAGTCAAGAAGAAGGTGGAGATGACTTTTATCTTTGGATAATTTTGAATCAAGTGCATTATTTTCACAGAAATAAAAAAATACTGTTAAGATACACTTATAGTCAAAGTAATAGAAGGAAGGAAGGCTAACTGGCATAGTCAGAGTGAGTCAACCTTGATTCTGTGTTCACTTCATTTAATTTATATATAAAAAATATCTTTGGTTACAAACAAGCAAATTATTGAGAAACTATATCACTCACATATTATAATAAAATTGAAATAACATTAAATTGCTAATTGATTATTTGATTCATTTTTCAATTTAACTACAAAGAAAACTTTAAAAGTAATAAATACTATGAAAAGTAAAATAACTAAGATGATAGAAAATAAGGAAAAGGCTGGAATGATCTTTCTGCATAATAAAAATAAATAAACAAATATCAGTGTTTAAATTTAGAGATGCTTTCTGTAATTATTAAGTAAATTTTACTTCAAGATAAAACTTATAAGCATTACCCTTTATATTTAAAGGTATTTTATATGACCCTATGAAATGTTAGTTTACAAAAGCTGAATATATATATGTATATCTATAAAGTACATAATGAGTTACTGTGTGGATAAATAATACATCCATTGTAAGGTTAAATATTGACCACAATAATTTGAGTTGGTATATGTATTAATTTCAATTCATTTCAGAGGTCAATATAATTTTTATTCCAGTGAACAACAATACTCTGTAGTGATTATTTCTGAGTCAACCTCTGTTTAACATAAAATCAAAATCTTTCAAAAGGCATTGCAATAGAAAAAAATGCTACATAAATTAACCTTAAGATTTACTTGCTCAGAATGCAACTGCATAAATATTTACTAATTCTCTTTTTATTGAAACTAATTTTTTCATACAGTGTGTTCTGATCATGGTTTCCCTTCTGCCAGCACCTCAGTAAGCTCAACATAGTGATAGTAAATATGCTTTCAAATTCTGTCAAAATGCAAATGAGGGTAGTTTTATTTAAAAGTGGCTACCTACTGAGGGAAAACTGTTCTAACTACACTATTGTTAATATCTTGACTCAAAACGTGGCAGTTTTATATTCTTGTCAGTAACTCTTCCCATTGCCTTGTGTCCAAATGAGGGCCAGGGATTTTGTCACAGGGGTGGAAGATAGGTGGTTTTCCATAGAATCATGGTCTTGTTGTTTCCTTGGTGACAGTTCACTGCAACTTTGAGGTCAAGAACTGAGAGTATCAGGTAATTGTAATAATTTAGATATAGCACAAAATTTTGCTTCACAGGGTAACTATGATATAAAACACTAATCATCTTGTCTTCTAATAACTATTATTTTCTAGACTGTGTTTTATTTGAAGCCTAAATTCATGCAGAATGTTCAAAACTTGGGATAAGCCTTTATTAATGTTCTTTTTATTGAAATTAATTTTTCATTCAATATACTCTGATCATGTTTTCCCCTCCCCCAACACCTCAGTAAGCTCAATATGATACTAAATATGCTATCATCAATTAATTAATATTTCTATTTCTTACTTTAAGGCATTTTAGATTAATTTAACCACTTTTTACAATCCACCTTTAAACATGATTATGTACTGATGTCCTTTATAACTGACATTAATAATGAAAGCATTAACTTTATAGGAATAGCATATCTACTGAAGTATTCATTAATAAGATGTTTCTAATTCTTCTCTCTGCTTATAAAAAAAGGACCACCAATAATCCATCTGTAGAACATACCAATGCTGCTTTGACTGATGACTAATATGTGATTATTATAGCAATATATAGAACTCAATGCAGTACATATAAAAAGAACTTCAAAGCCCATTTTAAAATCTATTACTTTAGATTAAACCTATGATATTAATACAAATTTATTAACAAAAGAATTATTGAAAGCATTTTTTTTCATTTTAGTACCTTAATTTGCTTAAACTATCCTCCCAAATTTCAGTTCTAATCTTTATAAGTGAAGCACTGTCATGATAAGTAGAAGCTTTCCATATTCATATCATTTGGCAAATGAGGATGAGAAATGAACTCTTCCCTTGTGAGATGCTGTACCCTCTACAAACCAATATTAGGAATTTGACCTGTACAATATTTGGAAACTTCTGTGTATGTATGTGTATGTGCAGACATACTACTTGATCATAAAGTCTGGGAGGGGAACTTGTCTGCATTATGATCAGCAGAATGATCATAATGATGAGGTCATTGCTCTCATGTGTGAGTCTGCCATGTTTAATTCCTTTGAATTTTTGTTTCAGCATTTGCATGTGGTGCTCCCTTAAGTAGCCACTGTTTTGCCTTGAAAAATAATACTTTATGATCTTCTCCTCTGTGCAGTAAAATCTAAGATTAAAATGGGTGGTGTTGGTATGGTCTTTAACATTTGGATTCCAATGTGGTTTACCTTTTATATTTGTCTTGTTTATAGAGACTTTCTATCTATAGCATCCTGCTACCTATTCTATTCCAAAAGTAAATAGAGCATATTGGGATAATATTGGACAATTTTTAAAATCCCAACTCCTTAAAATCTTTTTATAGCAACAATCAGCCCTGTCCTTTTAGTCACAAGGTAGTAGCAACTTGACCCTTGTGTATTAATGTTTCCCAGAGGTCAGTTATCTCCAAAGAATAACTTCACAGAGTCAGTATTCAACATAAGATAATAATAAATATGGAAAATAATGTCCAAATGTTTACTTACTAGCGTTATGAAATTTATTTTTTGGCAGGATGTGTAGATAGAATGATCAGTTATAGGTGCGCCATAGGGTAACTTGACCTCAACATGTGTTTCTGTGTTTTTATGGTTATCATACTGTTAAACATTTTTTCATGACACTTTGCATGACTAGTCATTAAATGAGGCTTAAATGTCTTATTTGGACGTTCACTAAATGACATGTTTGGTGGGGATGGTGAATTCCTTTTTAGAGACGGAACCGATCAAGTTCCTCGGAGTGTAGCACAGTTGATAACCCTCTGCCGGGAGAAGGAGAAGAAGCAGAAGCTGAGTCTGTGAATGCGGATGAGCCAGAAGCATGTTTTACAGACGGTAAGGGAAAAACTAGAACTCTCACAGTCACTACTGTTTTTGAGTTTTGTCTTAGTACATAATGCTAACCAGGAACTATTTACAAAAAAGAGGGGGTCCCTGTTCTTCTGAGCGTGGCTCTCTATCAAAGAGCCCCTGTATGTATGACATCTATTGACAGTAATTTCCAACATCAGTGTATCTACTAGTGTAGGATGTGGACACTTCTCACTTTGGAGCCTTAATTCATATTACTAGATGTCTTAGTTAAGTTTCTACTGCTGTGATGAAATACCATGACCAAAAGAAAATTGAGGGAGGGAACATTTTAGCTTAGAGTTCCACATCACACTCCACCACTGAGGGGATTCAGGGCAGGAATTCGTAGGTCCGGAGCTGATGCAGTCAATAGAGGAGTGATGCTTACTGGCTTGCTACTCGTGGCTTGGTCACCCTGCTTTCTTATAGAATCCAGGACCCCAAGCCCAGAGATGGCACCACCTACAATGAGCTGCAGCCCTCTCATATTAATCACTAATTAAGAAAATGCTTCCACAACCTTGACCACAGCTGAATTGTATTGACGCATTTTCTCAATTGAGGTTCTCACTTCTTAGATGACTCAATTTGACTTAAAAACTAGTCAAGACATCAAGATGCAAATTAATGGGACAGGTGTTGCTAGGGTCTTTTTCTTCTTAATCAATCATTAGAATGATTCATTAATATGTGGTAAATAATTTGATATGGTTTACAGTTGTCTCTCAAAATTCATCTCTACCATAGATTCAGAAGATACATAGCATCCCCCCATTGTTTTTCTTCTATTTCTCTGAGAGTTATAGTGTTTTTCTTTTGATGGCTATGTTATGTGCATACCAAAATGCTGAAAGCCGAGAGGCTTAAACTATGATTGTGGCTCAGATGAGAATTTCTGTCCTGTTATTCCCTTAAGTTTATATATGTATCTTTGGCCTTACTTTTGAGAACTAAATCTGCTTACCAAGACCATGCTGGTCATCTCAAATATTCTTAAAAACATCTCAAGCTGGGCATATACCAAGAGACTACCCTCTAATAGATATATTTGCAACCCCACGTTATTGCTGCTTTATTCACTGTGAAAACACTAGGATTATACACACACAGACATACACACACATATGTGTGTGTCTATGTGTGTGTGTGTGTATTATATATATATAAAGACAAAATAAAAATAAAGTTTAAAAATTCACAGAAAAATGGATAGACTTAGAATGTGTAATACTAAGTGAAGTCATCCATCGAGTTGAAGAAAGAAAACAACTTCATATTCTCCCTCATATGCAGAATTTAGCCAATAATATATGGATAAATGTAAATAAATGAGAATGTGGAGAGAGTATAACATTAATATAGAGGACAAGAAGGGCTAAGTATAAGGCAGTGAAGAAGGACTGAATGCAGGTAATGATCACAGTTATGAAAGAGGTACAAAGCTAGTAGCTTTCCTACTTTGAATTCTGCCATGATTTCCTTTTCAGTTTTGGTAATGAATAAGGACTTAAAATATATTCGACAGTAAAATATAAAATTGAAACTGAAGTTCCCTAGCTGCCATTCTGAATACATATTCTAACTCTATAGACATTGAGTTGTGTAGACTTTGAGCCTAGTTAATTTTGGTATTTAGTGCTTTTATTTTCAAGTTTTTAATAATAAAGTTTATAAAATTTAATATATACATATCTAAAAATGAAAACTGATATGCACTTCCTTATATATCTACATCTTCCAGTCTTTAACTCATTTAATAACATCATGTCCTACCCAATAAACTACTTTGAAGCCTCAGTCTCTTTCAGTCTGTAGTTCATAGAAACACGGAGGTAGACCCAAATCAGAGGGGATTCTGAGGCATACAAAATTAAGGGATTTCTTGAGCAATCAAATCAAAACCTGAAATCCCTAACTGTATATGGAAACTCTGCTATATTTGACCTGTCTTTCTACTCCGACTTCCCCTCTGTTTTTTCTTTTGCTGAAAATAGATGGTTTTCTTACAGTGTATTGTGACTGCAGTTTTCTGTTTACTTCTAACAATAAGCCAACTTACTCCTTTTTCATTTTCTGCCATACTAAACTGTGTAGTTGGAATTTTCATTGGGCTTTCACCATCTCCCAAATAAAGGCATGGAGACTTGTTATTAATTATGAATGCCTGGCCTTCGTTTAGGCTTGTTCCCCTAGTTCTTTTAGCTTATTTTAACCTGTTTCTATTCATCTACATTTTGCCTTGAGGCTTTTTATCTTTCTTTCATTCTGTATACCCTATTTTCTTGCATCCTCCTTGTCTGACTGGCTGGCCCCTGGCATCTCCATGGCGCCTCTTTTCCTTCTTCCCACAAAATAAATTCCTCATCCTACTTACTCTCCCTGCCCAGAAGTTCCACTTATACCTCTTCCCTTGTTATTGACCATCTAGCTTCTTATGAGACCAATCAGATGCCTTAGGCAGGCAAGGTAAAGCAGATAGATATCCTTACATAATTAAACAAAAGCAATATATCTTTACATAAACAAATATTCTGCAATATAAACAAAGGAAATGTGTCTTCACATAGTTAAATAAATGCAGCTCATGTTTGCATAGTTAAGCAAATATTTCACAACAAAACTTCGTAGTACTCATGTAATTTTCCAGGGATTGTACTCAAATTAAAAAGAATATATAGTGTTTGAGGAAAGCATACAGTGCTATCTAATTATATGACCTAAGTAAAACCACAAACTAAGGCCAGAAAACAGTACAGTCTAACAATGTAAGGCACAAACTTTGACCCTAGTATCCCTGAGGTCTAACTGGCTCATTCTTAACTGCCTCTGAGAGTGAGCATATTTTTAAAATATGCAATTTCATATTTAAACAAATTAGTAATAACATACTTATTATGTAACTATTGAAGTCTTCAAATGACATAATGCTTATGAATTAATTAACAGAATAATTATCTTGTTTTTGTTTTCACTTTTTAAAAAGTTTTCATGTAGTTAAACAATACTGCATGGAAACTATGCTAATACCAATGCCACTGATGCACATGGATCACCACCAATGTTCTTGTTAGAAATCACTGACTTGTTTTTAGGCTCCACTGTTTTCTTAAGAAGTCTCCTAGGGCATTTGTGCATTAAGCAAAGTGACTGGAAAATAAAGGTATCTACTCTACAGCAATACTTGGATTTTCTTTAAAGACTCATTAACTTTATTTTATATGAGAAACAAAAGAGAATTATAACCTGTCAATACATTTTGTGTTTTCAGGGATTCATGCTGTGAGCAAAGACATGGATTTCTCTTAAGAAATGTTAGGTTAAAAATATTTAAAGTTTTCATTCTCCCAGGCAAGTTGCTAGGTGTTTGCAATCCAGTAATTGGGAGATGATGGCAAAAGGATCAGGAGTTCAAAGCTTAATTTCATGTAGCCTGGGTTACAGGAGCCTTTGTCTTAGAACAAACCAAAACAAAAAGGAATTTCACCCAAATGTATGGCTTCTGTCTTAACAAGCTATTTAACAACCTTAAAAAAATAAATCTGTACAATTTCTGTCAAGATGTCCCCTGTGCAGTTTAGGAATGATGCTTACTTAAAATATGAATATAACCAGAATAAAATTGAGCTAATCAAACAGTTTAACTTTTTAAGCCAGAGAAAATTTTTAGAAAACACTTTTAAGCTCTCTCTTTACAATGGATTAATCAAACTGCTTCCATCTATAGATGTTATCCTTCTCAGAACATTATAAAAGTTGTTTTTAGGCTGGTAATCCTTTGCTCTATGTCTAAAATTCATATATGAGTGAGTACATACCATGTTTGTCTTTTTGTGACTGGGTTACCTCACTCAGATGTTTTCTTCTAGTTCCATTCATTTGCCTGCAAATTTCAAGATTCTATTGCTTTTTTCTGCTGAGTAGTACTCCATTGTATAAATGTACCACATTTTCTCTATCCATTCTTCAGTTGAGGGGCATCTAGGTTGCTTCCAGGTTCTGGCTATTACAAACAATGCTGCTATGAACATGGTTGAACATATGTCCTTGTTGTATGAATGTGCATTATTTGGGTATATACCCAAGAGTGGTGGACTTTGCGGAGCCTACCTTTGAGCACCCTACCCAGCCTGGGGAGTGGAGGGTGGATGGGGTGGGGGTTAGGTCGGGGTGAGGTAGGAGGGGTGTTTTTGAGGGGAGGGAGAGGGAGAAGGGATTGACAAGTGAAACAAGCTTGTTCCTAATTTGAACTAATAAAAAGACAACTACTGTTACAGCAGAAAAAAATTAGAACATTTGTAAAAAAAATAATGTTATGGAAACACATTTTCAAATTAACTGGGCCTGGACCCATGAAAGTTGACTGAGAGAAGATATCTCTAATTATATCTTGGAGTGACTTCCACTGGAGTCCATTCTGCTGCCATGACTTGTTGCTGTATGAGGCTCACTCAGTCTACCACACAGGGAACCCAATTTGCTCAGCGTCTGAATGACTTATTCACTCAATCATGTCTTCAATCAATAAACAAGTAGTAAATGCCTACTATACATCAGGTCACTTCTTGTCACTGCAATAAGACAGAGATGAATAAAACGCCACACATATAACCAAGGATCTGGTTGTAGATATATCAAAAGAGGAGAGTGACTACTAAGAAAGAGCTAGGGACCTGTTATGTAAATAACAGAGGCTCCAGAGGCTTTTATTATAAAGGTAATTTTTGATCAGGACTGAAAGAAATTTAAGAAGAGTATGTTTCCCAGAATCAGAAATAGAGAACATGCCACTTTTCACTGTTTCCAGTGGACTCCTACAAATTACAAGAGGTGAGATAGAACTAATGCCAATTTGAGGTAATATTTGGCCCATATATTGAGCAAATATTCTACTGAGACAGTCAACAGAAAAATCAAAGGAAACATGAGAGATGCTAAATTAAACTGGGGCTTTAACCAAAGATGGGTGGGTTTTTTTGTTTGCTTGGTTTGTTTTGGGAGAGGGGGTGTTCCTTGTTTGGTTTTTGCTGTTCCTTACCTTGAAGCTATTGATTCTTTCTGCTTCTTCCTGACACCTTGCTGATATGTTTTACCGATTGCCTTCTGTCTTTCTTTTGTTTCACTTTTTCCTCTCTTATACTATGCCTTTCATTAGTTCTGTTTGTAGATTTGTAACTCAAGGCTTCTGACACCTTCCTTGGTGTCATGATGTTCTTTACTATCTTTAATGTCTTAGCAATCAATTAATTCTGAGTATGACAATTAGTTATGGGTATGACATAACTACTTGTTCTATAATGTACTCCTTTGGAGTTATTTGATTAAGAAATTATATCATCAGAATCTGAGTTAAAGTGTAGCTTTTTTTAAAACTCATGGGACTTCAGTTAATGTGGTAGGTGGAGACAGTTTAATCTTCTCCTTAAAATATTCTCAGTTCATCAGTTCTTTGTACAAATAATTCATAACCAATTCTCACTTTATTAATAGAATAAGCAACTCTGTTCAGTCTTTTATTTTCTTTATTTTGAAAGGAAATTATGAATGAAACATTTATTAGGACATGTCGACATTTTTTAATGACAGTATTAAACAGCTTGTTTTCCTAATCAGTTTTATATTGATATGTTGATCATACTGTAATATGCTTGAGTCATCTGTCTTTGTATAGTTTCTTTGTTATAAGGGATCATTGGCTTAACATGATGAAACCCAGCCTAGACTTTATGTAATGCATCACAAAAGCTGACTAATGAACCCATCCAAAAGACAAAGGCATGAAGCTCCTCTGGGACTCATTAGACTGTTTAGAGTCACTGTAGTGTTTACATTTAATTGATAGTCATTCTAAAGAGAAGGTGTGATAACCTTACTAACCAGCTAGTTTGGAATTCCCTAGGGATTTGCCTTTGCATGAAAGTCAGGCAGGCTACTGAGCACTCCTGGCTCAAATAAAAGAGAAATTCTCTGTGGTGTGATATACCCTAGGGACAGTATTTGTGAGGCCTTGCCTCAGACAAAACTTTCCTTACTTTTCTAATTACAATGCAGAGTGTTTTTTTTCTTTCTGTAGTCATAAAAAACAACATTTCTTCTAATTTTAAGACTGGAAAAAAAAATCTCCATTGGGGAGGGCCTAGGCCCTGCCCCAAATGATGTGACAGACTTTGATGATCCATAGAAGGCCTCACCATTTCTATGGAGCAGAAGAGGGGTGGGATGGGGATCAGTGTGGGGGGGGCATGGGAGAATGGGAGGGAGAGGGAACTGGGATTGATATATATATAAATTATATATATATATATATATATATATATATAATTATATAATATATATAATATATATATTAAATTAGAAACAATCATATATATATTTAAATTCCAATTTAAATTTTAAAAAGGAAAAAATAAAAAAGTACATCTGAGAAATCAAATCTTGACTACAGTTAACTTTTCTCCAACAATTCTTATCTTTCAAGTAATTCTGGTTATTTACTTATTTTTTAACAACTTGAACATTTTAATAAGTTTTCAGACTTTGTAATGATTATCTTGATGGCCTGTCATGTTCAGATTTCTCTTTGCCTGTCCATCTCCTCTCCACCCCTGCCTCTTGGCTTTCCATGAACACCACTTGCCACTCCCAATCTGTCTCCTCCTTGCACTGGTCCCAGTGGTATTCAGGTGAAGTTTAGCAACTGGTTGTCTAAGAGAAAAATAATATGATTACACACAACATTTTAGTATAAGAATTTCTGTTATTAATAAGTAGAAAATTGACTGATAATACTATTATATGTAACTTATGTTATCACACATTCTACATATGTAACTGTCTTACAGAATGCTGCTGTTAAATTCTGCCAGCTGCCTATAATTACAATAGATGAGCAAATACAGCTCATGGAAACCAGTCAGTATCATTTATATTAGTTACTGAAACAAACATAATTCCACTCCTATATTAATGGTTTGAGCAATTTTTACTAACCACACAATGGAGGCTGAATAATGAGAAAGTATTTCTCAGTGATTTCTGCTGTCCGCGATTAATCTCCATAAACACAACATATGCTCACTGTTTATCTACTTCATTAACTTTTCCACCATTTTCTTATATGAACACACGCACGTGCACACACACACACACACACACACACACACACACATCCCCACCAATGACCTACGATGGTTTTCCTTGTGTAAAGGCTTTTGCCAGACTAGTTTCAAACCATTGCTGTGACCTTGCTGAGTGTAAGATACATAGAAGCCACATAGAAGCCACCTAGTGTGATGCATTCCACCATTCAAAAGGAAAAGCCACATGCAGCCTCATTAATATTTGGTGAACAACAATAATTAAGAAGGGACAGACGCTTAACAATTTCTGCTTAAAGTATTGAATTCTAAGTTTATATAATTTAATCTGTAATAACAGTGACTCTAGACAACATACTTTAAAAGTCCCTGACAGTTCCACAGGGAGTTATCATGAGCCAGTATGGTTCTGGCACACCTCTGAATCCTGCCCCTTAGTGATTTTGCCACAAAGTGTTCCAGATGTGTTATGTTCTTAATTATTTTGTATGACCTCATGAAATGGTTCTAACCTCTGGCATATATGTACTAATGATTTCTGCTGCACATTTCCCCTCTGGCCTTCAGATTCAGACCTCAGATATCTACCATACAACTACGCTGAGAAGTTTTACTGGCCATCTCTAACTGATCAACCACCAGGGCAGTTCAGATTTTTATGAAGTTCATTTCATTCCTGACATTCATCACTATATCCTGCTGATGATACAAAACAAATGTCTGAATCTGTTGTTGCTTTAGATATTCGTTACTCTTTCCCGTTGACAAGGCTATGGTGTTAGGACCCTATAAGCTCTATGCCTTTGGCTTTCTCTTCCACTTACTAGCACCATACACTGTTGAGGATTTCTAGTTAAATGCCTATATCATTCCTTCCTTATAACCTATCACTCACTCTTCAATCTCTATACTGTATGATCTAATTCTTTGAGGAAGAATATCACATTTCATAATTGCGAACTGTTAAAATTTCCACAAATAACTGTTTGCTGCACCTTTGCAAGGAACCTTCTTCCAAACTTTGGCTTTTACTGAAACTAAACTCTTTTTCCTACTGTTAACTTGATTCATTTCAGTCTTCTGCCTCTTCCAGCGAACCTCATACAACCTCTTTTTCAATATACAAGCCAGATTATGTGTACTTCTATTTTTCCAAAATGACCTCTACATATCTGATCTTAGTTGCATATCCATTTATTTCATTAATTTCTGTGCCTATTTAACCTAAGTAAAATCAAAAGCCAGTTCCCTGTGGAGAAGAAACTGTATACAAGAACACATTAAAATACTTGATGGAAAAATGAATAAGTAAGCCCAAATATTTTAAATAAAATTGTCCTCGGTTTTTCATAGTAAGATAATCTAAATAGAAGAGTCCCAATTCATATCTTTTAACCTTAGAACAGACAAAAATATATTTATCTGAATCTTCTAATAATATTTGCCTTTTTATCTTACTTTCAAGACTTCCCATTACTTTTCTCAATATGTTTTGTATTTGTGTTTACTTTCCTTGTTGAGTCAGGTTTTCATGTACACCAGGCTAGCATCAAATTCCAAGTACTACTAAGAAAGTCATTGAACTTCCTATCCCTTTGCATGGATTATAGGTATGCAGTCTCACCACCTCTAGCTGATTATATGCAGTTCTGGGGACCAACCACAGCTTCATGCTTGCTATGTGAACACTCCATCAATTAAACCACACTCCCAGTCCTTCAAAAAGTTTTAAATTGAGGGGTAGAAGATGTTAAATTATATTATCTATAAGCAAAAAAACACTTTGAGATTAATTTTGCTTCAGTGTTATGTTTGTTCTAGTCATTCACAAATTTTCCCATTAAGTAATTTAAATTTAAATGAAGAAGTCAGAAAATTACAGATGACAACATATCCTGAGTTAAAAAAATAATCAACAAATACTAAGAAATGCCATCAAAGTTAGAAAATGGAAGAAGGTAGTAGCATCTTGCAGCATTAGAAAATAGAAATGATGTGATTGTGGGAGAAAGTTTCCCCCTATTGACATATTTTAAGCTCTTACTCTGAGTATTAGGGTGTTCTATGCATGTCTTTCTTGCCAGGTTGTGTGCGGAGATTTCCATGCTGCCAAGTTAATGTAGACTCCGGGAAAGGGAAAGTCTGGTGGACCATCAGGAAGACCTGCTACAGGATAGTTGAACACAGCTGGTTTGAAAGCTTTATTGTTCTGATGATCCTGCTCAGCAGCGGAGCTCTGGTAGGTCAGCTACTAACTGGATTCATAAACTAATCTCTTTACATGCAAATATGAAAAGTAAGTATGGCAAGCTTTGCTGAAAATTAATCATTAGACTGTTGTCTGGGGCTCATTCTCATTTCTTTCTTAGCACTATTGTCATTGGTATATATAGAAAGGCCACTGACTTAAGGTTTATTTTGTGATTTACCTGTTTCTCTCTCTCTCTCTCTCTCTCTCTCTCTCTCTCTCTCTC